TGAAGATGGCAAGATGACGACGACGACGAATAGCCTCCGAGTCTCTGAATATGTGTACACATCGGTCACTTTGCTCTGCACTTTGTATGCGATGCCGTGCGCACGATGATATGCACACTTGTGTGTACCGAGTATACGATAATATACACGAGCGATGATAGCGTGGCGTTGGTGGTGTTGGTACCCAGCACCGGTCAAAAAGTAATCGATATCGCATGTGCGCGATAAGCGGCGGCGCCCGCAAATTTCATAAAGTGAATAATTCATTGCCGCGCGGCACCCCGGTGACGTGCTTATATTATGCTGCTGCTGCTACTGCCTTTGTGTGTGTGCATAATGTATGTATAAAATAATATATAAAAACTTCTTTCTTGCGCTGAAAATTACTCTTCCCGCCACCACCACCACCATTGCGGCGTATATGAAAACAAGCGCGAAGAGATCTCGAAAGGATAATGCATATTGTTCTTTCTTCCCCTTTTATTCTTTTTCAAACACGCGAGCGAGAATATTTTTAGCTTATATCCTATCTCCGCGCACGATATACACGATTAATTGCAAGACCGCGTGCCGCGTGCAGGAATTATTACTCCGAAAGCCGAGCCCATGTACACACATACACATACACCGCGCATATTATATTATGTGTCTCTCTTTCTCTGACCAAGCTCGAGCTATTATATATCAACGATTTTAATAAGCGCCGCGGCAGTTGCAGCAGGTTGGAGGGAAGAGCGAATATGAGCGCAAACCCGCAGCGCGCGCTGTTTCAATTAATTAATTAATTGCATACGATTGGAAATTTGCCCGCCTTATCGGATATCGGGTTCGTGTGCATTAATTACCCCGCTCTCTTCTCTCTCTCTCTTTCTCTCTCTCTGTCGATCTCTTTCGTGCGCCATTCAGCTCGGTAATGCGCAAATTACGGATATAAATGTCGCAAGCTCGTCACGCGCTTCTTTGTGTATACGTTAAGGTATATTTCTAAAGCTCTTCCCTTTTCCGTACGAGGGAGTAATGAGTTCAACAAACGACCTCATGAAAGACGTTTTAATAAAAGCGAAAATTTATAATATTTATTCATTTCTCGTGTGTGTACTGCACCTCGCGTGCGGAACTCTCTCTTGCGCACCCCCACGTGTTCTTGTGTGCTATATACACAATACTTACTATCCAAAGTAACTTCCTTGCCATATACAGAGTCAGTAGTTGAAAATTAGGACAAACAAGTCGTTACACACGCGCACAGCGAGGATATCGTATATATATATGTGTGTACGTGTGTACGCGCGATCGTAAACAACGCGACAGCATAAAGTGCCAAAAGTGCACTTTATGTAGGTACTGCTACTACCTGCTGCATAGAATTTGGACACTGCGCGACTCGAGCAATAACAACAACAACAACAACAGTGGCGACGGTAGCAGCAGCAGCAGCAGCAGCAGTGAAACCGCAAGAAAATTTGTGCACACACAAAACCCACAGGGACAGATGTTTGCAAAATTTCATTGCTGTTTGTTGGGATGAAGCTCAAGCGACTCGTTTTGTTGGAAGCTCTCTGAGCGCGCGCACAGAAAGCCTTACAAATATTCCTTTTAATTTCCTGTGCTGTGCCGCGTGCACTTTGCCTGCTCTGTACGCGTGCGTGTACGTTTTTGCATAATGCAGCGAGCGAGCAAACTCTTTTACGACGCTTATACCGTATAGAAAAAAAAAGTCTTTGACTTTACTTTCGGGCGAGCGCGCCCGTTTATGAGTCTTTGTTTTTTTTATAAATTCAACTGGCCCGGTCTGCAAGTTTTTTGTTCTTTCACGCGTGACGATTAAAAGTTTTCTATATAAGATACTTGCGAATACGTGGAGGAGAGTTTCGCGTGCTCGAAATTTAGGAAATAAGATTGAACTGGCAAGGTCAATGCGGTTCATTGGGGTGGATTTTTCTAATTAACGTTTTATCTCGCACGATCGTCGCCTCTGTGCAAAATGAGAGCGTAAAACATTTAAACATTTTTATTAAAATATATACTAATTCATATTTTGTAGTTAATTTAGCAAAAAAAAAGTAGAAATTCCATCATAATTAATGTAAGCCTTCACCGCTAGATGGCGAGTACGATTATCTGTAAATCTGCAAGTGACAAAGTCAAAATAATTGTATATAAGTCCATATCAAATACGGTTTTCCAACGATGATGTTGGAAATTCCAATGGAAAACCAATTTTAACCAATGGAACTTATTAATTATTATCATAAAGTATACCATGGAAATAATTTTTATTGGATTATTTATTCAAAACTGTTGAATCCATAATCTTGAAGCATAGTTTACACGCGATGCGGGAATATTTGAATTGGAATAGTTCGATTGCATGTAATGCACGAGTTAATTGATGTTGAATTTACGGAAAAAATGACAGAGTAAAAGTGATGAGGTTTAGAGAAATATGAAGAATTGACGATCGTTAAATACGCAATCATGTAATAAGCATTTTGAATTTAAATTCGCAATTATCTATGTTTGTTCGTTTGACCACGAGCAGTTGCATCTACGCAACTTGTCACAACCGCGAGCAAACGTGACAACGTAATCGTTTTATTTATTTTCTATCTCTCATTTCTCACATCGCGTGGGTGTCTATCTTTTCGCGTAATATCTATCGGAAAAGTGTCGAATGGCCTGCCAAATGCAGTCGATCCTTCGGACATTCATTGTTTCGTATATAAGAGAAAAGAATCGCGTCTGGCCAAGCCCGCGACTCCCTTCATAAATCCCATTAACGTTTATTTCCCCTGCATCTCCACTCGATCTATATACATCGCTTATATATCGCGCGCGGGGTACTTGTGATGAAATAACCGTCATAAATTTTCTCAGGCCTGCTTCACGGAAAAGTCCTCTATGGTAAAATAAACCGCGTCATTTGTCAATGCAGATCGAGCTCGAGAGAGAGAGAGCCCAACAAGCATTATATACGTACGTTTCGCCCTGCACCTATTTTAACAATCGAGCTTCCAAGTTCGAGCGCAACAAAGAGAGAGAGAGGGATAACAGATGAAGAAGGGGCTCTCTCTCTCGTTCTCTTTGCTCGTCGCTCATACATATATAGAGAATCCAATAAATTTCGGCGGTGCAGTAGGCGCGCGCGCTGACGAAGGGAGTTCTCTACGCGAACAGCAGCAGCAGTATATAATGTAAGGGTGCGCTGCGGTGCGCTCAGCTCATGCTTCGTGGGCAACTCGATCAGGAGTAAAGAGAGCGAGGGAGAGAGGAGCCCACAAAAAGTTCCGGTGCCTGAGTTCCGCTCTAGACGACGCGGGCGACTCCTCTACGTACGACGTCGTTTTCGACTCTCTTGCCTTAAAACACGAGCCACTCTTTGCTGCTGCTTCGGAGTTTCAAGTTGCTCGGCCGTAAAAATACCTACCTTTTTTTTCTCTCTCTCTTTTTATTTTGAGGCGTGTTTACGAGTCATGCGCGCGCCCACCCGCTTTTGTTACGGAATTATATATATTTTTTTTATCGTGAAAATTCATAAAGGCAAATTTTCAGCGAGCTTCCGTTCGCGTGACTCTTTCGCCTGGCCGAAATTTCACCTATAGCTACACGAAACTCGACTCGATTTTTGCGGATTTACAAGCGAATTTCCGCCGTACGCTTTTGTGTGTATCGAGCTAGCCGCGCGACAGAGCTTTTCGCCGGTGTGCGAATTCGATTATACGTTCGCTGCCACGGTACACGCACCCCCACAATAATGGAACAATTCGAGTTTCATCTTGGTTAGGGTAAGAGATAAAAAAAAATCCTAGTTACATAGAGGTTTTTTGTCCTCCTCGAACCAGGTCAGCACGAGAATGATGCCGAGTGGTGGACATTTTTCTCCCTGCTCGAATCTTTTATCCTTGTATCACGCCTCATTGGACGCGATTTTATGTCTTGCTTCGCTCGCGCGCGGAACGAGGAAAAAAGAGAAAGAATAATGATATCTAGCGTCGCGCGTACGTTAGCTCCACTTATAGTACGTGCTTAGCGCATTTTTCTTATGCACGCATGTAATACTCGAATAAAAAATGAGCTGGTATGCCACGGCATCTGCGGAGAATAACTCTTCGGACGAATATGCGAAAGAAGCGGCTTAAGGACGATGCGCGTAAGTCCTTAGCTTACTTTTTTTTGGCATCCGCTTTCACTATATTTACGATGAGAAGAATTTACATGTCACATGAGTAAGGGATATCGAGAAGAAAAAATTACGTATAGGATATTTTATGATCACGGAAATCATTGCTGATACTTTATCGGCAACTATTAAATTGTTTTATTATAATAATTTACGAAGCTATCACTGTGGTGCGCGTCAATTTTCATTCTCTCGGTCATTATGTATGACACGTTTAATGGCTGGCAATAATTATCCATTAGTATAACTCATTTCTAAATTTCATTCTTACCGTTGCGAATTACCTTCGTGCCGCGAATGAATGAAATGCAAATAGGTACAAGGTTTTCTACTTTGTTAACTGAATTTCTTTTCTTTGTGTAGGTGTGACATGTTCAAAATGCTTTTCTCACTGCGTTCGCGCATTAATGCGTTAATTTTTAGAGTTCATAATTCATAGAACAAAAATAGAAACTTGCATTTTTTAAAAGATCACGGAGTAGAAAAAAAATATTCACGATATTCTATAAAAATTATGAATTTATAGTTTTTTGAAATAATAATCCGAGATATTCGTTTTTACAATATACACAAAAGCACGAATGAATAGAAATGTTAAAAACACACTCCGCAGAGAAAAGAATAAGTTTACAATAAAAAAAGGTACACGATTCATACATTTATTTGTAAAGAGGGCAAAATTGTTTTTTGACATGATTAATATTACCACGTATTATGATTTCGTTCGACTATTCAGGCGTGTAGTTTGATACTCGTATGTAAACAAAACAATTTCAAACAATCTGGAAATTTTCAATTAGTCGAGTACGTTAGAGTCAACTTCCTTAGTCAATAGTAGTGTTACCCTAACTTCCATGAAAGTCAACTGTCTTTGATACTTTTATTTGTTGAACACAAATGGGTTCTTTTTGAAAAATATCAATCGAGTATACAATTTTTTTGGTACTTTTAAAAAAAGTATCAGTCAGAAAATTACGTATGCCTAAATCGATAAAGTTAAAACTGCTACATTCTTTTAATCAATTACGTGTGGTAATTGTCCAAAGAAGTTTAAAATAATGGCGTCTATCGGTGAACATTGCTCGGCACTTGATAGTGATTCAGTTCACAAAAACCACGAAGGTTACGTGTGTGGCTTGTGCCAACAAGAGTTTACATCAGAACAGAACTTGAATGTTCATCACGAAATTGTTCACGAAGGACGAAAAGACTACGTATGCGATGTGTGTCAAAAAACGTTTTCAACAAATCAGAACTTAACAGTTCATCGCAGAACTGTTCACGAAGGACGAAAAGACTACGAATGTGCCGTGTGTCAAAAAATATTTTCACAAAAAATCCATTTGATGGAACACCAAAAATCAGTTCACGAAGGACGAAAAGACTTTGTATGCGACGTGTGTCAAAAAGCATTTACAACAAAACATTCCTTAAAAATTCATCGCAGAACTATTCATGAAGGACGAAGAGACTTTGTATGCGATGAGTGTCAACAAAAATTTAAACAACAGGGACACTTAGAGAAACACAAAAAATTAGTTCACGAAGGAAGAAAAGACCACATTTGCGACGTTTGTCAAAAAGCATTTGGAACTAAAAAAAATTTGACAGACCATAAAGAAGGAGCCCACGGAAGCCAAAAAGGTTTCGAGTGCTGCACATGCCACAAAGTATTTAAATGGAAAAAAAATTTATTACGGCACATGAGAGTACATGATGAACCCAAAAAACAAGAATCCGACAACTCAAATTCGTCATTGAACATTCAAGACAATACAATACAGAAATTATACACAATCAATAGAAATAAAGCGATGAGGAAATGCAACGAATGTCATGAAACATTTGATCAAAGACGTCAATTGATGATGCACATTTTTAATGTTCATCGAGCAAACAACTCGAAACGTACTGAAAAAGATACCTAAAAAAGGCGAAAAATGTGCCATCAAACAACATACACTAATTCAATTTTATATAATTTAATTCAATTTTACATGGAATAAAGAACTTATTGAAATGAAAAATATATTATGTAAAATGGATTTATACCTATAAAGTACCGCTTAGAGATATCAACAGCAAAATTGATACAATTTGAGTTTTTACTTAAAATTATTTCATCACAATTTTTTTTATAAAAATCCATTGATTTCTTTTTTTTTCAAAGCTCTTCGCATAAGTAAGAAAAAAATATGGAGCTGGAGTCTTTCGGTCATCGCTGCCATGAACAATTTTTCGTCATTTATCTACAAAATCATCATCGTCCAAAGTGCCAATTGTGAAGGAAACAAAAAAAGCCCAAACGATCGCAAGCATCATCGCTGTATCGTACGTTCTATTCCCCCCTACGAATTTTTCATCGCACTATACGCCTTTGCCCGACACGACGGATTATTATCATTTCGTCGAGCATTATACGCGTCTCGAAACGATCATTTCCCCCCTCGTGCGCATGGCAAGACGAGGACGTTTATATGTAAAGTGTATACGTATGTAGTCTTGCAAGCTGTACTCGCATCTGCGCCTTTTTGTCGATAAAACTTCTGGCGTGGATCTTTCTCACACTCACGCGCGCATGCTCACCGTTGCAATTAACTTTTGTGCATCTAGCGTCGCGTTCCATTAACCTCGCGTCAATCGCTCGCGAACTACTCGATAAATATACGGCGAGATTCATTCACGAAGCGTCGATTAAAACATATCGCATCGATCGCGCATCCGAAAAGAGCGATATGTATACGTGCAGGGCGGCCCCTTTGTGAAAGAAAAAATCCAATAAAACCACAAATCTCCGTGACCCGTAAAGATACCGCAACAAACGCGCCGTTGCTTTGCCACTGTCGTCCCTCGAGTCCAAAAAGCATACGAAGTTATACATTATACGTCCATATAGCTAATCCAACATCAAACGGACGTGTATAATATCGAGCATGTGCTCGGCGTGTGTATATACACATTTTACGCGTACGTGTCGAGCGTCAGCTGTGGGATGTTCACCGATCCCTTCTACCACACTTAACTGCTGCTACTGCTCTCGACGTCTCGGCGCGCCCTGCATCGAATTGCACAAAAATATCTCGTACAACTTTTTTACTTTGCTTCTTAATTAGCGTCTTGTGAATTGCAGCTCTCCAAGACTACTTTTCCAATTCCAGACTCGTACGTTGACTCGTACGGAGACTTGGAGAAAAAAAAATGCGATCGTAACCCATTGTCAGGTTACTCCTATACTAGTGCTATTGCCGAGGGTAGGTGTGCGGGGGTGTGTACGCGTATGCGGCAAAAAGCGGACTACTAATCGATACGTACCCCGGTGTAGTAGTAGTAGTAGCGCAAGTCGGATTAAAATCAAACGTCGTTTCGAGTATACATCCAAGTTGAGCTCGTTCGACCTCCACCTCCACAGCATAATGCAAAAGTTTTCGAGACGTATAATGTTCCATCTTGTGAAGTATCCATTTTGCATCCAAGGCCAATTAAAGTGTACGTGAAGCTTCGTGTGTCATTGCGTTGTCGACAATATTCACGTGGGGATGCTGAAAGTTGAAAAAATATCTCTCTATGCCGAGCGTAAAAATGTAATTGATCCATTAGTCATTCTCGATGTATAATAGTTCGTCATTAAAGTATTTTATTGAAAGCTCGCGTAATAAATCGCCGAACTAAAACTGGCAATTTCCATAAAGTGCTTCTATGTGCTCTAAATCCATGTATATAGCTATATATACGCAGGATCGTAAAACCATCCGTCCTAAAAAGCTCGAAAGCATATTCTTTTGTTTTTGACTCGCGCGCGCGCCAAAAAATGCAGCGTACGGCATTGTTTCTGGATGATATAATTGATAGTGAATCTGTACAGAAACTTCCTAAAGGAAGATACATTGCACGTATGTACTTGATAAATCGTGATTCGAAATTATCCTACTTCGAGATATATAGAACATCGAATCGTGTCCGCGCTCACATATATATAATACACTTCGTACGCGTTGATCCCTCGACACATCGATCGCGAACGTCCATACACACGATGAACGAGAAAATAGTATATATACAAGAGTTAATTAATTTATTAACGTGGCAAACTCGTCTAACGTCGAGCTTTTCGTGCGGCAAACTGTTTTGGAAAATTAATATATACACGCACGCATGAAACAAGGTCAACGCGAGCAGAAGTTTTTGACGCTCAGCGTTCCGAGGCGAGGGAGAAAGATAAGTATACGGAGACGTAAATTTTCCATTTTACAATCCGTCATCTTCGATTCGTTGACGTTGCGCGAGCGAAACTTTTCTTTCGCGAGGGATGGCGTGGAATGGCTTTGAATAAATTTGCATAAGTCGCTGGATTAGATCGCACGCGGGCTTTGGTCGGCATATATACGCACATTCTTCTCGGGGGATAATCGTTTCGACCCATCTGTTTTCTTTTCTACACGTACCCAAGAGAAAGGAAACAAATGCAATTAACTATTGTTTCAGTCCCGTTTCTTTTTCTTCATTTTTTTTCTTTTCCACGTACGTACGAGCTAACCGAGTTTGTCGTACGGAATATATAATCAAAAATAAAAAAAAAAGAGCTGAGCTGGCACGCGGTGCACGACAGCACGATATGCACCGGGCGCTCGAGGTATCATAAAAATGATCGTCGCGTGCGCTTCATTAGATTTTTTTCTAGCTCGACGTCGCCTCACGACTCGCGGTGCGCTCGGTTGATTAAATTTATCCATTTTGCTGTAAAACTTCTTACGCATACGTTATAAAGCAACGAGCTCGCGCGGGAATGCGCCTACACAGTAACTGCGCCAGCGTATACGTATCGCGCTCCTTATGTATAAAATAAATTCGTCGCAAAGTATTATAGCTCGTTGAGCTCGAAGATCTTTGGGATCCTCGTGTTTACTGAGGAGCTGGGTGAGACTTTTGGCTTCCCGGCACTATGTATACAATAAAAAGTATTTATAAAAAATGTTCAAATAGTGCATAATAAAATTTACTGTGTTCTGCACTAATTGGTTTTCTACGACTCTAATTATGTAATTTTTTATCATAATTACCCAGTAATAATTATTATGTATTAATTTGGAGCTCGACATGATTAAAATTATCATGTATTATGATTTCGTTCGACTATTCAGGCGTATAGTTTGATGTTCGTATGTAAACAAAACAATTTCAACCAATCTGATAATTTTCAATTAGCCAAGTACGTTCGAGTCAACTTCCTTGGTCAGTAGTAGTGTTACCCTAACTTCCATGAAAGTCAACTGTCTTTGATACTTTTATTTGTTGAACACAAATGGGTTGTTTTTAAAAATATCAATCGAGTATACAATTTTTTTGGTACTTTTAAAAAAAGTCCCAGTCAGAAAATTACGTATACCTAAATCGATAAAGTTAAAACTGCTACATTCTTTTAATCAATTACGTGTGGTAATTGTCCAAAGAAGTTAAAAATAATGGCGTCTATCGGTGAACATTGCTCGGCACTTGATCGTGATTCAGTTCACAAAAATCACGAAGGTTATCGCAAAACAGTTCACAATGAAGAAAAAAACTACGTGTGCGACATGTGTCCAGAAACATTTTCACATAATAGCAGTTTGTCGAGGCACAAAAAAACAGTTCACGATGGACGAAGAGACTGCGTATGCGACATGTGTCCAGAAACGTTTTCACGGAATATCAGTTTAGCGAGGCACCAAAAATCAGTTCACGAAGGACGAAAAGACTTTGTATGCGACGTGTGTCAAAAAGCATTTACAACAAAACGGCACTTAACAATTCATCGCAGAACTATTCATGAAGGACGAAGAGACTTTGTATGCGATGAGTGTCAACAAAAATTTAAACAACAGGGACACTTAGAGAAACACAAAAAATTAGTTCACGAAGGAAGAAGAGACCACATTTGCGACGTTTGTGAAAAAGCATTTGGAACTAAACAATATTTGACAGATCATAAAGAAGGAGTCCACGGAAGCCAAAAAGGTTTTGAGTGCTACACATGCCACAAAGTATTTAAATGGAAAAGAAGTTTATTAAAGCACATGATAGTACATGATGAACCCAAAAAACAAGAATTCGACAACTCAAATTCGTTATTCAATATTCAAATCACTACGAATCAGACTATACACACAATCAATAGAAATAAAGCGATGAGGAAATGCAACGAATGCCATGAAACATTTGATCAAAGACGTCAATTGATGAGTCACATTTTTAATGTTCATCGAGCAAACAACTTAAAACGTACTTAAAAAGATACCTAAAAAAGGCGAAAAATGTGCCATCAAACAACATACACTAATTCAATTTTATATAATTTGATTCAATTTTACATGGAATAAAGAACTTATTGAAATTAAAAATATATCATGTAAAATTGATTTATACCTATAACGTACCGCTTAGAGATATCAACAGCAAAATTGGTGCAATTTCAGATTTTACTCAAAATTATTTCATCACAATTTTTTTTATAAAAATCCATTGATTTCTGTTTTGTCAAAGCTCTTCGCAGAGATATCAACAGCAAAATTGATACAATTTCAGTTTTTACTTGAAATTATTTAACCAAAATTTTTTTTCATCGTAATCCATTGGTTTTTGTCCTGTCAAAGCTCTTTGCATTAAAGTAAGAAAATATATGAAGCTGGAGTCTTTCGGTCATCGCTGCCATAATATATAGGCGGGTTGTGATACACACATATGAGCGAAGCGCAAACTGCTCCGAAGCAACAGCCTGTAGTAGTACAATGCACATAAGCAGGTGATCGCTACATAGGATGAGCACACCTAGGACTGCACACTGCAGGGCATCGAGCTCTCGACATAGGAATCAACACGCAATTCCGAAACACGCGAACGAAAGCTCGCGCCTTCGCGCACGATATGTATAACGACGTTTATATAGAGCACAGACTATATTGATATTTATGCAGGGATCGCGTGACTAGGCCTTGTATACGAACGTCACACGGCCGTTGTCGATCATTCGAGTTTCGTGCGTATAAATATTGTAACGGGGTGAGATGGTCGTGTCGCGTGCCTCAATAACAGCGCACAACGTATCGGCGTGCACGCGCGAAGATCGCCAGAAGGATAATGCGTATGAATTATTGCTGATGGGCCGAGTAAGACGACGACGACACAACGCGTATACATTATAATATTGCGACGACGAGCCTTTGACGCGCTTACGCAAGAACGAAATTCTGCCAGGCGCGCGCGCGGAGAAGGGTCGAATCCGAGAGTACCTCGGCGTATGTGCTATACGCCACCCCCTCGATTCAGCAAGTAGCTCGAGCTGGAGAAACTCCGAGCGTGGCAGGCAGATACACGGAGAAAAAAATATAATAAATATTGTTAGAATTCACAGTAAAAATTACTATAATATCTAGTAAAGAGGTGACATCGACACATTTTAGTAATTTTTACTATTTAATGTAGGAAAAATTTATTCTTTTGAATTTTATCAAAATTTCCCATTTATTACAGTAATTTTTATATTATGAGTAGTAATGTTTCTTGTTTGAATAGTAACTTTTCTTATACAGATTAATAATAATTGATGTAAACTGTATTAAATTTTCCGTGGGTAAATGAAATTTAGAATAAAAATTTTTTTTCATTAATCAATTGATTTGATCTCATTGGAGGTTTGAAGGCGTATTTTTCGAATGACAATTTTGGAAAGTTTATTATTTTCGGGACTAGTCGTATCAAACTCTAACCGCACGCTCGCTGTATTTTAATCCTACCTAATCTAAATAACCTAATACTACTACTAAACGCACGCTCATATAGTATAACATGTTAGTAAGCTTGATCATTGCGTTTTCATCTTCTATATATAGTAAGCTGGTTCAAATTTTAGCCACTTGCGGGTATGCGAAGCGACATCTAGCCATGATATTGGAAGTTCATTCACACAAGAAAAGTTACTGTACGCATAGCAAATTTTGCTATACAAGGTGTACTTTTTCGTGCTTGTACAGCAACATTTGCTAAGATCATATTATTTAGTATTATGTTTCTTAACATATAATATGTAACTATAAAATAAAATTTACTACAGTGAAATTTTTACTATACACTATAGCAATTATTGTACCGAGTTTTATTAGAATATTTAATACCTTTAAGAATATTTGTTTTAATATTATCAAAATTCCTGATAATAGATCGATGTCACCTCATTACTTTTTAGAATAGTAATTTTTACTGTGAATCCTAACAATATTTGTTGTATTATTTTCTCCGTGTAGTACCTATATTATACTGTGTATGGCGGGGCGCGCGCCAGCGCACTTACCCCTTGAATTAGAATCGTAGCGGCGCGTAACGTTTATATTATATTGCATGCGACTGCCTTATAAAACAACGCGTGAAAAAGAGTCAGCTCTCCCACAAAACACATACTCTGTGTATTATATGTGTATGTGCAGAGGCGGCCGAGTCTTGCGTGTAATGGGCTTGCTCATTTTTTTCTCGCTTCGTACGTTTTATGCACGTCTCTCTGTGTTTCTCGCTTTGTTGTACAAGTTACGCTCGCGCGAATGCATAAAAGGGACTAGTAGTAGTTGCTGATGGATTAGAGCTGCGTGCGCAAACATATATATATATGATTTTGTGTATTGTTGTTGCGCTCGAGCCCAGCTATAGCTTTATAAGCGCGTGAAATGATCGAGCTTGCGAGCAAAATCGCCTCGCGTTATTCATATTATTACTCGCGCGCGAGTTAAAAAAGCAACGGCCGCTCGTGACCTCGCGATGCATTTTTACACTTTTGCCGCCCGTTGTTTGATATACGTGTCCGTGTATATATACGGGGATTAATGCGATATGCATGCGCTGTATATCCAGAAGCAGTGTGATGTGCTGCTCGCCCGAACGGCCAGCTGAAATATGCATGGAAATCTGTGTATATTTTTCGCGCTGCCCTGGTTGTTGCCACAGACACACACTCGTGCAGCACACGAGGCGGCGTTATTTATCATTCTATAGGTCGAAGAATCATCCCATCATGTATTGATAGATGATCCGAGAGCGTTGCGGAGCACAGGAGATGGAGCGCACAGCTGCACGCATCACGGAAACAAATGCGGCTCGTATACGAAATTGCGGTTTTCCTCCGCAGCGCGAGGACTCGTATAATGTATGGATGGATGGAGCACGCGGCAGAGAACAGGTGAAGCATGTATACATGTATACGCAGCAGCGATTCGAGCGAGAGAAACTATATTTCTCCCTGTTGGATGCAAAAAAAAAACAAAAAAATGAAAACACGGACGACACTTTGACGTCGGACTCGAATTCCGATATTCGAATGTTATATATATACTTCATACTTCGGAATTCGTTAATCTAACTTTCGGTGTGCAGTATATATATAACTCCGAGTCCGTATATATACCATGCAGTTATATGCCCGTTGCCGTGTGCGCACAGGAAATCTTTTTAACGTTGGTGCTATCGACTGGCATGTTGCAGCAGCGCACGTCGAAAATCGACTCGACGTAGCACAGCAGCAGCTAGAATAAACTTCGTTGCTCGATGAACTAGACTCGAAGGTACGCGTTACACGTATATAACTGTGTGTGGCACAGCTGAATTCCTATAAATTCAAGGTGTATACTGTGCTCTTGGATTCCGACTCGTCCCCCGGAAGCTTTTCGCGAAAAATTCTCTCTATCTCGAGTAGCCAGGCGCAGCTCGAGCAAAAGTTGCATCAGCTACAGCAAACGTCTATCCGTCTCTCCCGGTCTGGGTGTACGGTTATACAAGGTTCGCTACTTTGCTTGATCTTCTTCGCAACAAAAAGTTAAAGCCCGTCGTCGCCAGCCACGCGTTCCCCCCCGTCGTCGTCGTCGTGGCCTGAATGCGCCGAGCTTCGCAAGTGTCGAGTGTACTATACATAACATCCTGCGAGCGAGCTTGAAAGAGAACGAGAGAGAGACAGAGTGAGAAAGGAGTCGACATGGCCAATACATCGCAGCGTGTCGCGAGAAGACTTTTGCTCTGCTCTGTTCTGCAGCTAGCAGCTATAACAGCACAGCGTCGTTTTGTCGAAAGAGCGAAAGGAGACGAGCGAGGGAGGCATCTCTCTGTACCGCTCATGCTGCAGCATCAAGAAAAGGGAGCCCCGAAGTAGTCTGCTGCAGGGCACACGAACACAGACGCAGCAGCAGCAGCAGACGCGTACCGCGGCGGGGGTGAAACGAATGCGAGAGTGGATTTACATGATAGGGGGAGAGAGTGAGAGAGAGAAGGGAAGATCAACGCTAAACTAAAACCCCCCATATCGACTCGACGCTATATACGCTGCTGCTGCTGTTGCTGCAGCCAAGAGCTGAGAGATGAGGGTGAGAGACGTATTAGAATCCAAAGCTGCTTTCTGTCTTCTGCTATACCATTACATGCTGTGTAATACTGTTGCTAGTGCCGCTTACACACGTTCTCTTTAAATCACCGATGGTTCTTTTTTTTTCAAATTTCTCCGCGTGCACTGCATCGTGCATGCGCCGGCTCATGCCTCACATAATACACCCACACACATCGAAAGACGTACCACTGTACACATCGTTCGGATTTAAATTCGCAGCGGCTGTTTGGATTTGAAATGGGATCCGTGCGCGTATATGAGGCTTTTCTTTTCATGCGTGTACATAAATTGCGCGAGCATATACCTCGCTGGCTCTGATCCTTTTGTTTATTACACGAGATTAAGCAAATTCCGAGATTATAAGCTCGTTTTCCTGTGTATATATACGCTACATGCGTGCATATGTGTATGTACAGCTCTCGCTTTTTTAATTAAAATTTCGAGTTACGTTTGTATCGATTAATATTTAGCGCCGAGCCGATGAGCAAGAGGGGGGGCCACAAAATGTTGCCAAACCCTGCCCCCGTCCATTCGCCACCACCGACACCCCCGCATCGTTTCTACGTACGATGACTTTCGACGATGCCGTTCACGTGTAAATCAGACAAAAATCGCTGCTGTATATATACACGCACGAGCTCGACGAATCATCGCCAATCACTCCTCGTCGAGTGCGTCGTCGAGCGCGAAATAATATCGACTCATCAACGCGCGCTCAAAATTCTGCTTCGTGTATTCCGTAAATGTATGTAGATAGATAGAATATTATCCATCGGAATGATTATTAATACAATTCACGCGTTGGCAGCTGTATAGCTCGTGCCGCTTCTCGGTACATATACCTGCGCTCCGTGGTAAATATGTATATAAACCCCACAGTAGACATATAGCCAGAAGGCAATCTCGCGCTGTAGCTGCGAAATCTAGGGCGCTATGGCCTAATGTCTTTTCGATTGTGTTTCGCACGCGCAGCACCCCCTCTGA